TACAATGTTCCATCAAAATATACAAACATACATAGCGGTGATACAAAACCAAGACAGACAATGAAGGAGAATACGTTTCCCATTAACATGTGGTAGGTTGAGTTCGTGATTCTCGTGCATGAAGCGGATCATGTTTTGTGGACTATTCATCGTTTAATAATTCCGTTCAGCAATTCTCATTATTCTTCAACTGATTTTAACTGGTTGACAGGTAACCGCAAGTTGATAAACAGTTATAGACTTCCATTGAAGCGCCTAACAATCTTATCGGACTACTTGTGAGGTAGATGATTAACGTACTTAACCGGTTAACAGGCTTTAAGAGAATGAAAAAGCCAAATCCAAATTCAATAACTTTATTTGCATACTGACAATTTACAATTCTATTGGAATTGTCAATTCTATATCTGTTCTGTAATTTACAACTTACAACTAATTTTGAATTACAATGTTCATAAGATCGTTAACATGATAGAAGTATTTTTGTATCAAAATTTGCTTTAAGTGGAACTTGAATTGGTTAACATTTTTAATCGACGTAAATTACTAAACAGAACGGGATCAATTTTATTAGGTGATCAAAATTCTGCTTCTGTTTACGTATACATTATTGCTTGTCCTTGTATCCTAAATATGCAATTCATTTATACTAAGTGACATATAAATCCGAACACCCAGTTTAAATGGTTTTATTTTAATAAAAGTTGGTGAATGTATTTATCTTACTGTAAATAACAAGTGAAAAAATTTTCAGCCTTATCAGTTGGACATTCCTGTTTTTATACTGCTTTTTTTAATTCACTAACGCTCTAAAAATAAATATTTCAGCCGCAGTAAAGAATCAACGTTGGCGGATTTTGGTTCTTGACATCCTTTACGATCGGTTACGATGCCTAGAGTACGGAGACCTGTACGATTTCGTCAACTTAGTGAGTTTGATAGGGGCCGTATAGTGGGACTTCGGGAAGCTGGACTTTCTTTTCGGGCAATTGCAGTTAGAATGCAAAGAAGTGTAGACACTGTGGTTAGGTGTTGTCAGGCATGGCTTCGAGAAGGCCGTACGCAAAGAGCAAGGGGCACTGGACGCCGCCATAGAACAACAGACCGTGAAGATCGCCGCCTAAGATTATTGGCCTTAAGGGACCGTTTCTACACTACCAGGTCCATTGCAAATGAATGGTTTGCAGAACACGGAAGACCTATTGGCATGCGAAGTGTTTACCGACGAATGAGAAGTTTTGGCTTGTTTTCATACCGGCCACACTGGGTCCTCCCTTTAACTCGAGAACACCGACGTAATCGCCTTGAGTGGTGCAGACAACGGTCACTTTGTGATCAGGAATGGTACAGTATTGTCTTTAGTGACGAGTCTCGATTTTGTTTAGGCATGCACGATGGTCGTGCCAGTGTTAGAAGGCGACGTGGTGATAGGAGGAATCCACAGTTTTTTGTTGAAAGACATGTTCATCACACTGTTGGAGTTATGGTTTGGGGTGCTATAGCTTATGGTTCCAGGTCACCTTTAATCTTCATCAGAGGTAACATGAACGCGCAGCGGTATATCCACGAAGTTCTAGAACCCCATCTTTTACCCTATCTTGACACCTTGGCAGATCCAACTTTCCAACAAGATAATGCCCCACTACATGTTGCAAGAGTCACAATAGACTTCTTTCAACATAATGATGTCACATTGTTACCATGGCCACCAAGATCTCCCGACTTATCCCCAATTGAGCACGTGTGGGATATGATGGGTAGGAGATTGCTCAATTTGCAACGTCCTCCTCAGGCTCTAGAAGCACTTCGAGAGGAGTTGGTGGTTGCCTGGAATGACATACCACAGGAGGACATTGACCACCTGATCAGAAGCATGCCTAGGCGCGTTGGAGAATGCGTAGCACATCAGGGTGCATCCACACATTATTAAAGGTCAAAGGGCTTTAAAGCAGTGCAATCATTTTGAAATTTTTATCATTTACTTATTATGCTTCATTAAGTACTTATACAAAATTTTATTAAAATAAAACCATTTAAACTGGGTGTTAGGATTTATATGTCACTTAGTATATGTATAACGAAGGGACAGTCAAAATGCGATGTTGCATATGTTTTTCTGTAAAATTTTGCTGACAATAAAGAATATTATTATTATTATTAAATCTATAAAATATTTTTTGCAACTTTCTGTTGGCGATATTCGTGCCAGTGATTGGATGCATCTTTTTGTGAGGGAAATACATCTTCAGAGCGCGTTGATCAATCCACGAAACGTACCGCATACCTTAATCTTGAAAACACGTTATCAAAATAAACTTGTATTAGTTGTTTCGTTCTTAAGATAGTTTTCAATCGCCTCAATACATAGTGTTGAGAGCTTATCTCCGGCAAAAGGAAGTCGCAATGGACCTTTCAATTTAGGTTGAAATCAAAATGTAGTCCAAGAAATTTGGTCTCTCCTCTAATATCGAGTATATCGGCACCCAATCTAACTGCAAACCCTTATGCGGTTTGATATGCTTGATGAAAGCAAATAAGCGTAATTTTAGATGGATTCTAGTATACTTAGTACTGGTTAAGCCACGTATTGATTTTCCAAATTAAGTTGTAGAGTCATCGAAATTACTTGAGGTCATAGCAGAAAAGTCATCGGCATTTTACTTACTAAGCGACTGGCGGGGAAGTATTGTAACAGCAAAAAAAAAATCGAAAATGTGATATATATTGTCGATGTTTAAGACATAGTCTGATCATATTAGCAAATTTACCCGAAATAATTGTAAAGTCTGGTTTTATTAATGCAAGTTGTTCAAGGAGATACGAGTATTTAAAATATGGACGCATAAAATGGGTACGCCAATTTTTGTGGGAATATAATCAGGGATCTCGTAAACGTCGAAAAAATCTGGCTTTGTTTTATGAAATGTAGGTTTACGACTTGAACTACCTAAATAAAAGTCTTTTATCATTAACGTGTTCCAAACCTTTATTCAGAATCTAAGTGGCACTTCCCAAGCTCTATACAAGAACTAAGGATTACTGAACAGATAGATGATAACATACACACAAACAGAATTGTGTTACATGGTTTTTCATAAAGTACAAGTCATCTATGATTCAAAATACAAATATCACAATTGCTTGCTAAAAGATTCCCAAAACACGTTTACACGCTTTATTTGCATGAAAAAAAAAATGGAATTGCAGATCATCGATCCTAGATAAACCAAAACCGACACTAACTTACCTGGAAATTTGACCGGTGAAATGTATACTAAGTGACATATAAATCCGAACACCCAGTTTAAATGGTTTTATTTTAATAAAAGTTGGTGAATGTATTTATCTTACTGTAAATAACAAGTGAAAAAAATTTCAGCCTTATCACTTGGACATTCCGGTTTTTATACTGCTTTTTTTAATTCACTAACGCTCTAAAAATAAATATTTCAGCCGCAGTAAAGAATCAACGTTGGCGGAATTTGGTTCTTGACATCCTTTACGATCGGTTACGATGCCTAGAGTACGGAGACCTGTACGATTTCGTCAACTTAGTGAGTTTGATAGGGGCCGTATAGTGGGACTTCGGGAAGCTGGACTTTCTTTTCGGGCAATTGCAGTTAGAGTGCAAAGAAGTGTAGACACTGTGGTTAGGTGTTGTCAGGCATGGCTTCGAGAAGGCCGTACGTAAAGAGCAAGGGGCACTGGACGCCGCCGTAGAACAACAGACCGTGAAGATCGCCGCCTAAGATTATTGGCCTTAAGGGACCGTTTCTCCACTACCAGGTCCATTGCAAATGAATGGTTTGCAGAACACGGAAGACCTATTGGCATGCGGAGTGTTTACCGACGAATGAGAAGATTTGGCTTGTTTTCATACCGGCCACACTGGGTCCTCCCTTTAACTCGAGAACACCGACGTAATCGCCTTGAGTGGTGCAGACAACGGTCACTCTGGGATCAGGAATTGAACAGTATTGTCTTTAGTGACGAGTCTCGATTTTGCTTAGGCATACACGATGGTCGTGCCAGGGTTAGAAGGCGACGTGGTGAAAGGAGGAATCCACAGTTTTCTGTTGAAAGACATGTTCATCACACTGTTGGAGTTATGGTTTGGGGTGCTATAGCTTATGGTTCCAGGTCACCTTTAATCTTCATCAGAGGTAACATGAACGCGCAGCGTTATATCCACGAAGTTCTAGAACCCCATCTTTTACCCTATCTTGACACCCTGGCAGATCCAACTTTCCAACAAGATAATGCCCGACCACATGTTGCAAGAGTCACAATAGACTTCTTTCAACATAATGATGTCACATTGTTACCTTGGCCACCAAGATCTCCCGACTTATCCCCAATTGAGCACGTGTGGGATATGATGGGTAGGAGATTGCTCAATTCAAACGTCCTCCTCAGACTCTAGAAGCACTTCGAGAGGAGTTGGTGGTTGCCTGGAATGAGATACCACAGGAGGACATTGACCACCTGATCATAAGCATGCCTAGGCGCGTTGGAGAATGCGTAGCACATCAGGGTGCATTAACACATTATTAAAGGTCAAAGGGCTTTAAAGCAGTGCAATCATTTTGAAATTTTTATCATTTACTTATTATGCTTCATTAAGTACTTACACAAAATTTTATTAAAATAAAACCATTTAAACTGGGTGTTCGGATTTTTATGTCACAGTATATTTGGAATTACTAGAAGACGCCATAGATCCTGCATTAACAGCCATAATTGAAAATCAGAATGATCGGCTGTACATTGCGAATAGGTTGATGTTCCAACAGGATGGTGCCCCACCACATTACGCATTACGTGTTCGACAATATTTAGATCAAACCTTTCCAGATCGATGGATTGGTAGAAGAGGTGCAATTGAATGGCCCCCAAGATCGCCATATTTATCACCTTTGGCTTTCTTTATGTGGAGTCATTTAAAAAGCAAAGTCTATGCTACTCAGCCAACATCATTAGAAGACCTGGGACAAATAATTATGAATGAGTGCCTTCAAATTACTCCTCAAATATTGCAAAATGTGCGGCAACGTATTGAGCAAAATCTTTATTATTGCATGGAGAGTCATGGTGGCCATATCATTGCAAAACTTTTATCATAAGCAAACCTTGATTTCAAAAATGTTATTAGAGAAATTTCGAAAATAATTATTGTATCACTGTTTAAATATATGCAAAAAGCGTTCAGATACCGCACGGTTATAAAAAATCTGCAGTTATTCAAACAAAAAACCAATTCTTAATTGGAAAGTAGTTCCATATTTACTGTTACATTATTCACTGTAGCACAATAGATGTGTAACGAATTTGACTTTTTGCTGGAACAGATAGAGCACAAAATTGATCTAAATATACTGGCACCTTTTCTATTCTACGGTTTAAATTAATAAGGAAGATTTCCGAAATTCCGTAAATTCGGTTTCAACACTTACAATAAAAGCGTTCTTTATATCGGATTAGATGGGATATGCTTTGAAAAAGTGACCAGCTTTTGTTTAGCATTAATGATGAAGATTGTTGCATGAAATTCTTATTTGTAGTCAGTGTGTACAGGGGCGGATCTAAAAATTAATTTTGCTGACATATTGAGATATTGGAGATATAAATGCAATTTTTAACTACTCTATGAAACACAATTTAATGATTAATTCCTCATAATCCCAAACCATGTTATTCTGCTCAAACACTAAAAGTGGGCGCATCCTCCAAATGACCGGATTTCTTCCACATTAAATCTAATCGACAACTCTGTGCATAGTATTTTTCAGACATTTGTCTTCTTTGAGATCAATGAGGAAGTTTCCTATTTTCTGGAGCACACTTAAGAGATAGTCTAATCAGGGTGAAGCACAGCACTAACGTTCTTTAAATATGTTAAAGAATGACAAAATTACGCTACCTAGAAGTTTATTCTTTGGAGAATTACCTTGTCCGAGCGGTAGACTGAGTGATGACGTCACATGACACCAGCTACCATAACTACCACAAAGCGATGCGCCATTTGCAAATGTTGCTCTGCTCCGTAAAAATGGGTTAGACCATCAATTTACAAATAGTGTATTGTATTTAAGTGTACAAATACACGAATATCAGCTCCAGAAAAACATGTTCACCTGTGCCAAAACAGGAGAATTAGAAGGAAGTGCCTGTTATGGAATATTATTGTACTGCAAATATCATTGTTAGTAGATATTTAGATAATATGGTAAAAAGGATCAAAATAAATATTAGTGCATGCATTTATCATGTTGAAATAAATAACATAATTGGTGTAAACTAGGACGGAGATAGATTAGAGTACAGCAGACGCTCGATAATGTAAACTAATTTAATCCAAGTGTGGTTCACATTATCGAAATGTTTACATTAGCGAACGTGATTTATATAATATTCGATTTATTAAAAGAAACGTTTAATACATAATATTTATAACAAAATAAACAAATATTCTAACAGCGATAAGTATTTTTTTAATTAGAAGAAAAATAATTAACAATTTTTGTCTGCGTAAATTTGCGCTTAGCATTGTCTTCCAATGCCTGCGCCCGTAATTTACGAAGAACTAAAATATCCGTGTATGAAACTTATTTTCTTTCAACCCAATCTAAAGCTTGTTAAAAACTTGTATAGCTTGCGCGTCAGTCACTACACTTTTAACTTCAATGGGATCGTTCTCATCATCCTCACTGTCCATATCCTCCTCCTTATCAGCATCATTCGTCTGCTTATCTTCGTTCCATAAATTAATATCAGCAGGAGTACAAACAATGTTGGGATTCACTGTTTTCAATAAATCAACAACATCCAATGACACACTAATAACATTATCATTATTGGATCGCAAACGTTCTCCAATTACGCTTAAGGGGACATCGTCTTCTTCATCATCTTCATTATTGGTATAAAAGAGATTGTTCCAACATTTTTGAATAGTTTGCTTGTTAAGTTCATTCCAGGCCATATGTAAATCTAAAACAGCTTCTCGTAATGTTACTTTTTTTAAAGCCTCAGATAAGTTTTCAGGATTCTTTGATAAGACAGACGAAAGTAGAAACTTCCTATAGTATAGTTTGGTGAGTCTTATTATATTCTGGTCCATCGGTTGAATTAACGGTGTTACGTTGGGCGGCATGTAAATGACGAAAATTGACCCATCCCTGCTCCTCAGTTGTTGCTCGGGAGGATGACTTGGTGCATTATCCAATAGTAACAACGCTTTTATTGGAAGCTTCTGTTATTTTAGGAAACCTTTTACCTACAAATTGAAAACACATCTTCAAATTATGAGTAGAGCATTTGTGATAATTGATTGTCATACCTGAGGCACAAAGCACCTGTGGAACCATTTCAGGAATATACTGCTAGTCATCCAAGCGGTTTTTGAACAGTTATAATCAACAGGGATATTAACATTTTTAAATGAGCGCGGATTTTTTGCTTTCCCAATTACCAGTGGCTTTATTTTGTGTGAACCATTAGCATTAGTGCAGGCTAGAAACGTTATTCGTTGTTTCTCCGGCTTTCTTCCCGGGGCAGATTTTTCAAATGATGCAGCATAGGTTTTCTCTGGTAACATTTTCCAATAAAGGCCACTTTCATCTGCGTTGTAAATTTGTTCCATTCTTAAATCTAGCTCGGTAATTGTTTTCATCAATTTTTCTTTGAATGGTTGCACTAATTGTGGTTGTGCTGATGATGTTTCACTAGATATAGACAGCAGTCGAATTCCATATCTTGTTTTGAATCGTTGTAGCCAGCCATCACTAGCTACGAAATTTTCAGTTTCTTTCAGTTTTTCATTTAACAGTCTCGCTCTCTGTTTAAGTACTTCGCCACTAACAGGAACATGATTTTTCCGTTGTTTTAAAAACCACTTATACAGGGAATTTTCCATTTTAGGTGCCTTCGCACTTTTAAAAGTTTTTCTTTTTCCCGGACCTCCAAATGTATTGCACGTTGTTTGTAAAATTTGAGGTTTCATACGCTTAATTTTACAGATTGTTGCTTCCGATACTACATATTTTTTTGCTAACTGTGTCACTCGCGCACCTAGTGCAACTTCGTCTATGATTTTCACTTTCTCACTCAACTTTAAACACTTTCTTTTATAGGATGTGGATGCCATAGTCGTAAAATATATTAACGCGTGCAATGTATTCACTTAAGTTCAAAAATGAAATACATACGTACGTATAAACGTATCCTAAACGATCATACGACTGACCGAGTTTGTCGTATTTTATCGCAGAGGTGAATCCCCTACACTCTACATCATAAATCGGGGACTCCCCGATGCCCGACATAAATCATCGAGGCTTCAGCATTTTACCGTCGCGCTGTTTCCGTGCGCCGAGAGTTGTTTACGTTATCGAGCGTACACATTGTTTACGTTATCGTGCGTTCCGTTTGATCCTACAGAACGAAGTTTGTGTTTACATTAGCGCAAGTTTTCATTATCCCGTGTTTACGTTAGCGAGCGTCTGCTGTTTTGCTTTTATTTAGAGATTATGTGATTATAGTGATCGTGTTGTGGCTGGAGGAGGAACCTTCCTTGAACCTCTATTTAAGAACAAAAAACTTGACAAAAAGTTATATAATCGGCTGCCGTCACGGTTTAAAATAATCGGCAATATTGAGATGTGGATAAACGGATTGCGGAGTCGAAGATATGTATAGATAAGGCATTGTACGAGGGATGTCTTTTAAGTTTTGAATATAGAAACATAGTAGGCCGCGCGGATCGAACATCAGTACTGAATCTTAACCTCACTCTTTAGTAAACTTAAATTCAAAGTTACAGAACAATACGTGCAGTGTTCTCACTACAGTGAATTTTTACGTGTTACTAATTCATTTCGCGCCATAATTTATTACAACTTTCAGAGACAATTATCGCAACAAGAATGCCTTGCTGAGTTACTGTCTGTTTTCGACAACGAAGCGCCACATCAGGCGACAATTTCCCGTTGGTATGAAGAATTCGTGAACGGGGACGGGTGAGTCTTAGCGACGATCCCAGGGTGGGTGCACCAAAAACGGCAGTCACCCAGGAAAACGTCGATGCTGTACGCAAACTCATAATTGAAGATAGACATGTGACATATCGTGAGATTGAGGCGTCCTTGAAGATCTCAAAGACCTCAATTCAAAAAATTTTACATGAAGAATTAGGAGTAAGAAAATTCGTTTCTCGATGGATACCCCACCTGTTGACTGAAGAGCAGAAAGCAGCCAGGGTTAATTGGTGTCAAAAAAAGCTTGACCCTTTCAATTCCGGAAACTCAAAAAATGTGTACAGCAGTTTTAGTGGCGATGAATCGTGAATTTACTGTTATGAACCAGAAAATAAATGACAGTCGGCTGTTACAAGGTGAAGAAAAGCCAACAAAAGCCATCCTTTCTCGAAGTGTTTCGAAAAGGGTGGTCTCCACATTTGTGTGAAAAGCGAGTCATATTGCAACGATTCCTCTTAATGAACAAGGAACTGTTACTGCGGATTGGTATACCACCATTTGTTTGCCAAAAGTCATCACCGAGCTTCGAAAAATCAACCCCGAAAGAAGAATCATCCTCCACCAAGACAATGCAAGCTCGCACACAGCCCAAAAAACAAGGCAGTATTTAACGGAAGAAAACGTGGAATTATTGGACCATCCTCCATATAGTCCCGTTCTGAGTCCTAACGATTTCTTTACTTTCCCGAAAATTAAAAACAAACTGCGTGGTCAAAGGTTCCAGTCACCAGAAGAAGCAGTTGACGCATTCAAAAATGACGTTCTGGATCTGACAAACGAGTGAAATAAGTGCTTCGAAAATTGGTTCGACCGCATGCAGATGTGTATTAATCTTCGTGGAGAATACTTCGAAATACAATAAAGTCCTTTAAAACTACCTACCGTGTTGTTTTATTTCCATATGCAAAACTTAAAAGACATCCCTCGTATTACTACGATATGTGACACTATAGGAACACAATATGTAACTGATATTTTTTCCCGTGAATAATGAGTGAATTCAAAAACAGTTTAAAACAGCCCATCAGGATCCGCTCTATAGCAGCACGTTTGTCAGACACCCATTTACGAATTATGTCAATTTCGTCTGCATATACAATAATACATAAGTTATACCTTAAATACATGTATAACAGTAATTTGAGCGAAATCCACAATCTTTTCCAAACAAAGCCGACATACTAGAGCCACTATTTAGATTTTTCTAAGATCCATCAAAACAATTTTTGCAAATAGAACCGCTATTACGATTTTTGAAGTTCGTTATTATTGAGCCTGAACACACACATCTGAACTTTTTAATATTTTTTTGCAAAGATGTAACATACACCATATGAAATCCGCTATATTCTGCATCAGCTACTGGGTTTTACTCTACTCACATACTTCCGTTATGTTTCATAAAAAAATACCTTTCTTAATGAGCAATATAAGCGATTACCTGCTAATACCACACAAACATGAATGCAGTAAAAGCCAATATAAGTATATGGGATGCCAACGCAGGGCGATATAAAACACACGGCTATTAGTTTATAATCAGTTATTACCCGAATTAGTAACAACTAGTTAGACCGGTGAATTATTCAGAGAAGAATTATCTGATAATCTTTTATAAAAGGTATGCTTTTAATTAAGGAATAAATTAGATATATCGGCAACATAACGGCTAAAGGTAACCACACATATGTAGGAAAATAGCAAGGATACAAAATGCCGATACCCTGAACTGTTCCTTTAGGACTTGGGACTAAAGAAAAGATGGTAACATGGAAATTGAATCCACATTCTCATTTTAGCCACGGTGACTTAGTGCTGGAATACGAGTATATGAAAAATGTCCCTCCCTCTCTTAGTATAAAATGTTGATTGTTAAAAAGTACAGGTGAACTTTTGCCTTTATGCCAAAGTATATGCTGAAAAACTCAGACAAATCTAACCAAAGCTCGAAGTTAAAACAAAAGTGAAGAAGAAGTAATAGACGAAGGAAAATAACAAAGAGTACGTAATCGAGGTAGTAGGATAGGGGTAAGGTTTTCGGACACGGGTACTCGGGTCGGGTATACCTACGAATAGGTATCCAAGAGTTTTCGGACCCGGGTAATGACGAAAAGCGTGGGTACCTGAGTATCCATAAGAATTAGGAAATTTTATTTTTCAGTGTAGTAAACCATTGGCCCCTTAAAGAAAAGTTCATAAAGATCTTTTTTGCTGATAATAATGACAATAACAATAATATTTATTCGGTAAAATACAAGCATGACCCAAAAAAGCTTAGAAAGTGTGAATAAACTACTTTTGGAATTTGCTTATAAAAATTGTTTTAACAATTTTTGACGCTATCAGACTTCTTTCTCGAGCAGATGCTCGAATATACTTCTGCACCATTCGAACTCAAAATCTTGGAAATAAAAGTTCAGTCACTTGTCATTCTCATGTTTTATAATTGGTTACATTTTTATTTGATTATCAGTTTTTTTAGTATCTACACCCTGCAAAGGGTACGACGGTTATAAATGACACGGCACACGAAAATACGCTTCCTTTAGCTTACAATAAGCTTTCGCCAATAAGTCTAGAGATATACAAACCTGTTTATGATTTGACTTGTGATGACTAAAGAGATCCAGAAGGTACTACTATGAATATAATCGTTATTTTATTCTTTTATATTCATATATTTATCCTTGACGAATCTTATATTATTTTTACTTCATTGTATTTATTTAATTTTTTCCCAAGATGGATTTACATTCCTTCAGTGCGCATCCTTTTTTATAGATAATCAGTTTAGGTACAATGATATTCTTAAAACAGTCATTACGAGTACTTCATCATTGTCACTATCGCAACATTATACGAGGGATGTCTTTTAAGTTTTGCATATAGAAATAAAACAACACGGTAGGTAGTTTTAAATGACTTTATTGTTTTTCGAAGTATTCTCCACGAAGATTAATACACATCTGCATGCACTCGAACCAATTTTCGTAGCACTTATTCCACTCGTTTGCTGGCAGATCCAAAACGGTATTTTTGAATGCGTCAACTGCTTCTTCTGGTGACTGGTGCCTTTGACCACGTAATCTGTTTTTGATTTTCGGGAAAGTAAAGATATCGCTAGGACTTAGATTGGGGCTATATGGAGGATGGCCCAATAATTCCACGTTTTCATCCGTTAAATACTGCATTGTTTTTTGGGCTGTGTGCGAGCTTGCATTGTCTTGGTGGAGGATCATTCTTCTTTCGGGGTTGATTTTTCGAAGCTCAGTGATGACTTTTGGCAAACAAATGGTGGTATACCAATCCGCAGTAACAGTTCTTTGCTCATTAAGAGGAATTGTTGCAATATGACCCGCTTTTGACACTAATGTCGCGACCATCTTTTTCGAAACACTTCGAGAACGACAGACAGTAACTCAGCAAGGCATTCTTGTTGCGACAATTGTCTCTGAAAGTTGTAATAAATTATGGCGCGGAAATGTTCTCGGTTGAGTTCCATTTTTCTAATGACTTGGTGACACTTAAAGATTCACTGTAGTGAGAACACTGCACGTATTGTTGTGAAACTTTGAATTTAAGTTTACTAAAGAGTGAGGTTAAGATTAAGTACTGAGGTTCGATCCGCACGGCCTACTATGTTTCTATATGCAAAACTTAAAAGACATCCCTCGTATTGCAAAGCTGGGAACCTCTGGTAAGTAACTTTACAACGTTCTTCCAGATTAAATGTAACAATTTGTTCTTGCAATTTAGAAAAACTGTTTACGTACCAAGGAAGGAATATGATACCGTATCTTACCATGATTATATAGAAAACAGCAAATTTTGATCACACCGGAATTTCATATTCTTTGCTTTTCTCTGTTTTTTCTTTACATATGTGAAATATTGCATTCTTTAATGAGTAGTTTTCCGGTGCCGCTTCCGGTTTCGGAAAGAGGTGCCAATATTTTCTGGGTAGAAAGTACACTAAAGATACTGAATCTTAGACGTTCAGTGAGCACATTATAAGTAATAAAAACACAGAGTTTCCTGGTCCAAGCTAAGCCAGTGCCTGAGATACTGGGGTACCCGGACACCTGATAAGAAATATTTTTTAGCCCACTGGAGAAAGAGGTGTATTTTCCATAAATTTTAAATAATTTAAATAATTTTTGTCTTAGAGATATTTAGGTTTGAACATTTGAGGTAAAATCCTAAAATATTCTTATAAAAAGGTTTAGCCTCCACTATCCTGAAAACACCGTGAAGCTTGATGTTGTAAACTCTGTACGGCATGTGACAGAAGCTATGGAACCTCATTACAACATTATTTGAATAATATGTGTGTGTTATAGAATTTTTTGGATATATTACATGTACTTTCCACCTTAGAAATATTGACACGTCTTTTTGAAACACCCTGTATACTGTATTAAATACTGAAACACTCGTATATTAAATGTTGAAAAGTTTGACTGAAGCTGCTAAAAAATTGAAATTGCTCTCCTGAATAGTTTACATTTTTATCACTTACAATGTTATCAGATGGATGCATCGATATAGAATACTTCTATGAACCTTTGCTAGGTTTTCCTTATTGATGATCATCAAAATGCGACAACATTCGTACGCTCAGTTCAAGATGAATGCCCCTTGCCCCTTCTGCCTCCATCTGTTCAAGTATGCAAAAGCTCGTTGACGCGTTGCATTGGGCAGTACCTGTTAGCGAGATGAAGTACCTTCACAGCACATCAAGCCGAACGATAAAATATTCGCCATTACACGACAAGCGATGGTGTCTGAGAAGATCACCGCTCGCTGCACCACGTTATAGGCTACGGAAATCTCTTCAGATTCACTCTCGCGTGATCTGATCTATATACAGGGTGTGTTCAATGTTTCGGAAGCCGTTAGTTTCATTCTCCCCAATCCGATTATAACTAGTATCTGCATGAAGTAATCTACGATTATTCCGTAGTCAGGAAGATAAACTTCACCGGATAAATGAAACCAACAGCATCTTGCTTTCTAGGTAGACATTTTAACCATTTTAGACACGATAAGAATATATGGATAATCTCTTGGATCTACCTACACCCCCTATAAATACCCTTGCCTATGGAGATCCTTCTAAGAAGCCATTGGTCCCGTTCTACGTAGCGCTACAGTAACGATACTTTATTTTCTGCTGTCACGCACATGGTCACTTAGAGCGCGACTGGAGCGGTTTCCATTTTTCCATCATAACTCAAGATATGCTTCGCTCTTGATCATGTGAAGCATCAAATACTGTGTTATGAAAACAGTGTAGATGCCTTTTTAAAATAAAGCTGATACAGAAAATTACGATAAAAAATTTCAAAATTGATGAACAAACAAGGAAACATGGAATGAATAACTTGAGCATTAAATAATCTCCATTCGGTCACTGAATTATTAGATGGTCAGTTCATGCTACAAAATGGGTAAGATTTCATTTAAATCTCTTTCTATGACATTTTTAATCGTTTTTCTACAAGATGCTAACTTAGCACTAGCTGATGGACGCGTTGTGAACCAGTTTTGTAGTTGTACGTGTTGCCTAAACTAGAGACCTAAGCTATAAGCTGTATTATAGCTAGAAGGACGGCAATGCATAGGTGTGTAGTAAGAATTTGTGTGTTAATAATATGTCTTGATAATTCCATTGGATTCTTGTCTCAAATGAGATTCAAAGTTAGAAATTAGTTGTGCATCCAGTTTTTCTTATCCATTCTGGAAATTACATATACAAATTTGCTGAATTTAAAAAATGAGAGAGATAAGAAATAATTATATTCACTGTACACTGTCGAATTACAAGATATATACATGCTAACAGCAATTACACACAACGAGGGCGCTGTGGTGGTTTTCCGTAATTCTCCTCAAAGTCTTTGAAAACACAAGAAAACGTAAAAAATCGTGATTTATAACTTTGAACGTAACCTGTCTTCAGAAGGACAACATATAAATAACCCGTCGGCCACTATAAAAGATATACTACCAATGATATTCTCACACATCAAATATCACACATGCAGACCAATACACACAATCATCTAGGCGCGATCTTGCTATTCAACCATTTTTCTTCTCAGAGATGAAAGCTATAGACTACTCGGCTTCACAAAACATATGCAACCAACAATGCGTGTAAGTGAGCTATTCCACCATAGATGGACGCTCACAAAGCTCCTAGTGAGCAAACCTGGAATGACTGTTTGCACCCTAAAAACTACCTAGTCTGCAAGATGACATTTTATAGGTTTTTTTACATAACACCCATTCCGGAATCCGACAACTGACAAGCCCAGTGACATGTTTGTATCAAAATACCGTTCGCGGTTAGGTCGCTTCTGAAAGCGCTCAAAGTTAGCGCCACGCTGTGATAAGCGGAACCGTTGTGAAGTTCTTTTATGACCGACTGACATGTTTCATTTGATAGGAGTATCCGTCCCAAAAGCACAAGGTGATATTTTTATCGGTTTGCTGAGAATTATTCTTTCTCGACATCCATCAAAACAGCTATTCTCGCCAAAATATTTCCTGTAAATGGCTGACCAAGTATTGTAAACGGGAATTTAACATTTCCCTAATACAGTGGTCATAATAACGGCAGAGTCAACGGTCATAACCCATCGGAGTCAAACAACTTTTTCATCGAGAGTGGTTTTCAACATTAATCCTCACCAGTCAATGCAAAATATTCATCCTGCGCCATACCATTGCATACGATTTTGAAGGCCATACTTGTCTGTTTCATTTGCTATTTTGTTGAAATATAGAATTTTACGAGCAATCTCTTCCAATGGAACAATTGTTACACCTTTTCAATTCAAAAATCAGAATCAATAAGTACTTCTTATATTCTGCTGTATGACTTGTTTGATGCCTCTATGTTTTCGCTGGTTAAGCTGTCACTGGATCTACTATACATTTCTTTGAAAAAATTGCTTTTTGATGGTTCGTTCCCGTGGAATGACTATTATTTTTCGTAAACTAACTCTCATTCAAGGAAACATGTAATTTTTAGTTTTGGCCTTTTCTGGTTAGTATTTAGCTTTTTTAGGCAAAAGGACTAGGCATAATTCTCATGGGAAAAATAGTTCCGGTAGATTATTGCAATCTTTGAGGTTGGATTCTGTAAGTGATGCTGAGGGTCTAGAAGGGTTAGACGTTGGGGATTGATACATTATACAGATACATCCAAAAATTCGTCATAGCCATAACTAAGCTTACGATTTGAATGTGTTAATTATATCACAAATGGTCTAATGGTTCATTCCAAATCGTGTCAACCTTAACTTTCATTTTGCCCGTTTCTACTGTTCAAAATCAGATAAGTAAAGGTTGAAGCACATAGCAGAAGTGAGTCAGATATTTAGCTCTAGAGAAATTATAGAGAACACAACGTCATTGTGGAATAGTCGTGCTTTTCGAGAAGTAACCCCTTGTAAGCAATACTTCTCCGACTGAAGGGTAATAAAGTCTGACAAATTATTTTAAGATATTTGTGATATATTTAACTCATCCAAATCATAAGCTATGAGCTTTGCTAGATGTAAGGAGGAAATTCATCGCAAACACTTTATCCATAAGAATGGTGTGTGGTTTTACCGAGCTTCTGTATTCTGCATGAATCTGAGAAACCGCCATCATTCTAAATCTGCTTTGTAATTTCCCAATATACTGGACTTAGATGTTCATGGTACCTCTGTCAAGAAGCAATATATTTCATTACGTTCCACCACTCTTACAATACAAGCTGAACGTTAAATCAAATTATAATAAAATGCCCTATCGCATTCAAGAACTACCCCACACTTGCACCCTATAATCAACCGCCTCAGGATAAACACTTTAAAACTATTTTGAGGGCTAGCATATGGCTAATGCGGGCCGTAGGCATAGCATCATCATACAGGGCGACTCAAATAACAGCTGCAATATTTACAGAGCACCATAAAGTTCATATTATAAACATAGGTCTCAGCAGGGCTAGAATATGAATATCGTTCTAATAACGTTAGGGTGGGGATAATCTCCTGTATCTCGTTTTTGGAAGTGAGATGGGATTATAAAAGAACTCGTAACAGTACTCGTATGCTCGACAGCTAAGCTGCAATGAAGGCGCTAGGTAGTTACCCTTATTGGGTTACAATAATAATAAAACGTCTTTTTTGGGCGAAGTTTAGCATAAGCTATTTTACCACTTAACTCGTAAAATGTTTAATCCCAAAATAAACAATAAAAACAATATATACCACTAAAAATTCAGATATTTCAACATAAAAACGAATTAATTGAGTAAAATAAATCAGAATAGGATAAAAGGGAAAAAATACATACATACATACATACATACAGAATGCATATAAGCAGAAGCGAGCGATAAATTTATGTCAATGATTGCTCGAAAATGATTTTTTCAAACACTGTAGGGTGGCGGTGTCACCCTGTATATCGATAAGAGGACATTTCAGAAGCCATGCTTAA